TTTAAGGATGAGGCATTGGCACTCGTCTGAAGATGGACGACATTGGACGCTCGTCTTAAGATGGACAGCGTTGGACGCTCGTCTGAAGATGAGGAACAATGTTGATGAAGCTAGTCCTGTTTAAAGACGAGGCGTTGGCGCTCGTCTGAAGATGGATGGCGCTGGGCGCTCATCTGAAGATGAGAGACCGCACTGATGAAGCCGTTCGTCTCATGAAAGACGACGGTTGACGCACATCCTTTGATGACGATGGCGTTGATGAAGCCGTTCATCATATGAAGGACCAGGCTCTGACCCTGGCTTGAAGATGAAGGGCGGCGTTGGACACTCGTCCGTTAATGATGATGGCGCTGAGGAAGCCGGTCGTCTGAAGATGAAGGACGGCGTTGGATGCATGTCCTTTGATGACGACGGCGTTGATGAAGCCGTTCGTCATATGGAGGACCAGGCTCTGACCCTAGCTTGAAGATGAGGACGGCGTTGGACGCTCGTCCCCTGATGACGACGGCGTTGATGGAGCCGGTCATCTGAAGATGAAGGACGACATTGGACGCACGTCCCTTGATGAAGGATGGCGTTGGACGCCTGAAGATGAAGGACTGCGTTGGACGCCCGTCCCCTAATGACGACAACGCTGATGAAGCCGGTCATCTGAAGATGAAGGACGACATTGATGATGCTCGTCCTTTGATGACGCCGGTGCTGGTGAAGCCGTTCATCACATGAAAGATGACATTTGATGCACATCCTTTGATGACGACAGCGTTGATGAAGCCGTTCATCATATGACGGACCAGGCTCTGAACCTGGCTTGAAGATGAAGGGCGGCGTTGGACGCTCGTCCCCTGATGACGACAGCGCTGAGGAAGCCGGTCGTCTGAAGATTAAGGACGGTGTTGGATGCACGTCCTGTGATGACGACGGCGTTGATGAAGTCATTCGTCATATGGAGGACCAGGCTCTGACCTTGGCTTGAAGATGAGGACATCGTTGGACGCTCGTCCCCTGATGACGACGACGTTGATGGGGCCGATCGTCTGAAGATGAAGGACAGCGTTGGACGCACGTCCCTTAATAAAGGATGGCGTTGGACACTTGAAGATGAAGGACTGCGTTGGACGCCCGTCCCCTGATGATGACGGCGCTGATGAAGCCGGTCATCTGAAGATGAAGGACGACATTGATGATGCTCGTCCTTTGATGACGATGGCGCTGGTGAAGCCGTTCATCGCATGAAAGACGACGTTGGACGCACATCCTTTGATGACGGCGGCGTTGATGAAGTCGTTCATCATATGAAGGACCAGGCTCTGACCCTGGATTGAAGATGAAGGGCGGTGTTGGACGCTCGTCCCCTGATGACGACGACGCTGAGGAAGCCGGTCGTCTGAAGATGAAGGACGGCGTTGGATGCACGTCCTTTGATGACGACGGTGTTGATGAAGTCGTACGTCATATGAAGGACCAATCTTTGACGTCGGTCTGAAGACGAGGACAGCACTGGGCGCTCGTCTGAAGATGAAGGACGGCGCTGGGCGCTCGTCTGATCCGCATGTATGGTCTTGCTTCGTCCATAATGCATAGTATTTGCCTGATATGTACTTAGCCAAGTATGTGGCTTGATTTGTGAGGATTTTATTTTTATCGCTCGAGGCCGGCGAATGCACGGTCCTTCGGTTGTGCCTCTTTTAGTTTTGGGGATATCGCTTTTGGTCGGCGAGTGCACGGTCCTTCGGCTGTCCCTTTTTTATTTTTTGGGGATATCGCTTTAGGCCGGCAAGTGCACGGTCCTTCGGTTGTCCCTCTTTTATTTTTTGGGGATATCGCTTTAGGCCGACAAGTGCACGGTCCTTCGGCTATCCCTATTTTATTTTTTGGGGATATCGCTCTAGGCTGACAAGTGCACGGTCCCTCGGTTGTCCTTCTTTTATTTTCTTCCTCTTTACTTCTTTGAGCGAGGAATGGGTATCCTTCTTTCAGGCTTCGGTCGAGGGGGTCGATTGTCCCTCGGCCGGTAAGGAGTCCTGTTGGATCGTCTTGTGATCTCAGAGAGGTCCCGTCACCTATTTATGACGTGCGCTAAGCTTTTGGTCGGTTATCAACGGCTGCCGTTCCTCATCCCTGAGTTTGGGGATTTTTGTCACCTCGGCCTTGATTTCAGACATGTCGTCCTGCGATTTCGTGAATGGATGATGCGGTGAGCTTCCCATTTCAAGATGTGGGCCGTTTGCGGGCCCATCGTCCTGGGGACATCGTCGGCCTTACCTGAGCGTCTCGCTCTAAGGGGTCGAAAACGATGTGCTCTGTCGGTCTTTCCTGAGCGTCTCGCTCTAAGGGGTCGATATAAAGTGATGTGTCGGTCATACCTGAGTCTTTCGCTCGAAAAGGCTGATGCGACGTGCTTTGTTGTGTGGCATCCTTTACTTAAGCTTTGCTTGACTTCATATTTAATGCATAGGTATGAGAAAATTTTGTGGCATTTAGCTGGTGCTTGGACTGAAACCTGTGCTCCTTAGAATTCCAACAGGCTGTAGAGATTATTCCTTGCAAATGGGTCTGCTCTTTAAAAATCCAGCTTTGGTAATTAATAGCGGACCCATATAGCTAGTTAGCCAGCCCACCCTTTGAATTAAGCTGCTAGCTAGCTTCAGGTAAGCCGATGCGAGGAGCGCCCCGCGAGTTGAGCTTGAATCGATCCCAGCGTCGCTTCCCGGCAGAGGTGCGCCGTTGTTCCTCCTTCGCCTGGCCGAAGAATTACTAGACGAGTGGCGCTGGGAGGCTTCCTTTGGACGAAGCGACATCAGTGGCCGATGGAGGAACCTGTGACTCTGTGAGCCATGATTTGGCCGATGAATGCATTGGTGGCTGATGGTGTTGCCGACCGAAGGTGCCCCCTCTTTTCCTATTGTTTTGAATTAAGCCCGACCGAGGAGGGTCACTTGGACGGTGGTGACCACTTAGTGGAGACGAGGGTGTTACTTGCTAACTTTAATTGTTTGGTCGATGGTGTGCTGTGTCGATGGGGGTGCCGGCCGACGGGGGAGCGCAGGCTGATGGGATGTCGGCCGATGAGTGCCGGTCGATGAGTGCCGGCCGATGAATGTTGTTAGCTCCTCGGTGACTTGAGGAATGGGGGCTTTCTATGGCCGAAGGGACTGCTCCTCCCTTCGTAGATGAGGGTCCGATGATGTGTCGGTCGATGTGTGTCAGCCTCTGGATGCCGGCCGATGGTGTTGATGGCCGATGGGTCACCGTCCTTTGGAACCCGTGACTCTGGGAGCCATGATTTGGCCGATGGATGCACTGGTGGCCGATGGTGCGCAGGTTCCACGACTGAGTATTGTCTTTGGTCGAAGGGACTGCCTTTCCCCTTTTGAGCCGATGGTTTGTTTGTTTGGCCGAAGAGAATCCACCTGCTATTCGAAGATGGACTTTGACCTGTACTTGGGGGCTGCCCGGTCGTTGGATGAGGGGCTGCCACATGCTCTTTTTTTTTAATTTGACCAAGGGGGAGCTGTTGGCCGAGGGATAATCTCCTGGCCGTCATCTGTCGTACTCCTGCTTCCTTTGGCCGAGGCGTGAAGCTTGTCTTGGTTATGATTGCGTTTTGATTTTGACCCAGGGACAGCTTGAGGTGTCTTGGTGGCCGTTGATTGTTCACATGTCGCATGGCAATTTGGTGAAGGTGGCAGATGAGTACATCAAACATGTCACTTTGCTCCTAGGCCGAAGGGGCATGCTTCCCCGATTATTGGTTTGGGAGGATCTCACTTAATGTATTCTAACTCTCAATGAAAGCACCAAATGATGAAGTATTAACTCATAGAGAGAAGGGAGAGCTAGAGAGAGAAGTGAGTTGTATTAATTATTTTTGAACCCTTTACATGGCTCTCAAGGGGAGTATTTATAAGAAAAAGTGGATTGGACTCCCAAGTCTTGGGAGACCCATTACAATATAGAGCCTCTATTGGGCTGATTATATTAGACGTCTACTCCTATGAGTTCCTTTTGGCCGACGGAGGCGCTCGGCCGACGGAGGCATGGACGACGGAGGCGCTCGGCCGACGGAGACGCTCGGCCGACGGAGGCATGGACGACGGAGGCGCTCGGCCGACGGGGGCACTGCCCAACGGAGGACAAGTCTTCTCCTTGGCTTCTGGAGCGGGTTGACTCTTTTTCGACCGATGGGGTGCCATCTGGCCGACGGAGGGCCCACTGGATGACAGTTGTGCTCCTCTTAGTCTTCTGAGTATGTGGCTCATGGGATCTGGACCCATATACTCCATCAACCATATTAAAAGGGATGCATATGTTTACAATTAGAGTTGACCAAGAATTTAACTGCGTAGATATTGTTCTTCTAAATTATAGAAACCAGTCCAAGTGCACAATCTTTTAAAATGCTTGTTTGTTGAATAAAATTTCATATTTAATCCTGCGAGTATCGCACCGATTCCACAATTAGATCATGTCTTTGACTTTAATCACTTTTGGTATATGATTATTGTTTTCCCCCATGTATAGTCCTTTTCCGGTGGTTATAATGTCCGGAGATGAATCGACAATGATCAAGAAAACAATGGTCAGGAATCAAAAGTAAACAAAGTGAAAGACGTAGACGAAATATGGAATTGACATAAAACTCGTAGGACCAAAATGTGACACCACTACAATATTTCATGGAAGATTCAAGTACGACATTTCATGAAAGTTTTGAAAACTAGAATTGTATTTCACACTTTTCTAAGAAATAAATTAGCTTTTAATTTCTCAACCATTTTTTAAAAAATGCAATTGTATTTAAAATGTAAACCATTTTTTTTCTTTTTTATTTCTTTTTCAAAGATGTTATGTTAACAATTTGCCTTGTATGCATTTAATTAATATTACTAATATATTTCTCATATCGTATACCTTCAATATTTTCCCTACTTTTGTCTTTTGTACTCAAATAATAAAATTCAAAAAAAGGACCACTGATAAAGTGATAATCAAGTGGGAATAGACCGTGCCCCAGTATCACCCAGGACAAGTACCAGCTCAAATCTACTGATTTTTAATGCATAATGAATTCAATTATATCTTATCACGTACATGAATGTAGTTGTAATATGCTATCGTATATGGTATAGTATCATAAATCATAATGATTTACAAAGCCACATTTCACTCAAAGAACTTTGTTTTTGACTTGTAACTTTTTTTGTATTTTACATCTCTGAGACCTAGCACAAACTTTTGTACATCTTACATAAGAAGGAAATTCCCAATGCGGCTATTTGACTATAACATGGTCCTCTTAAGCAGCTCTCTATCATGACAGCTGCAGCTCAGTTATGCCTACAGCCTACCTATACATTCATCCTTGTCACATCCTTCTCTTCATCAGCAGATATACAACACTCACAGCGTCAGTCACGTGTTAATATGTTATGGCAGAGAGAAATCCCTTGTTAGATTATAGGTTACACTGTCGGTCGCATGTTATACTAAATGCACATGTTATAGTCAGGTCACATGTATACTACGGAGTATTATCCCAAGTCATGAAATTCCTTCTCAAGTGAGCTAAACATGATCAACAGACGCTTTTTCAGATTGGATTCGATGTTTTTTTGCATCCTTTTCTGATGTTTAGCATATTTCAACCATGTCATTCCAAACTGAACGGAAACACTGCATCCTACTGATCTTGAGGGAAGATCCTCGACTACATATTTAAGGTGAAGCTGCAGAAAAAAGAGTGTTCACCAACAAGTCAAGAGAAGAAGCTACGAAGCATTTTTACAAAATGCATTGCATTTGATGGAGATTTTCCACTCATAATCAATCCTCTAACTATTGTGGCAACAACACTGTTGATACCTGTATTTGGATTTCTCCGCTTTTAGTCCCATGCTTATGTGAAAGAGACACTTAACGAATCTGCTTCTGAATTTTTCTCCTTTTACTACTGTGGTAATTGGTCCACTAACTTCTATGACAGCAGCACTTTTGGTCCTCTAACTATTGTGGAAAGTAAGACAGTACCAAAAATGCCTATCACAATAGTTGATGGACTAAAAGTGAAAAAACGAAAGACACTTAAAGGTCATCACCACAATAGCCAAAATCAAAAGACTAGAGGGAAAAACTATATACGAATGAGATTATGAGGCAACCAACAAATGGGATAGAATGCACATACAGTAAAATAGTCTCCAAGAGGGACCCCATGAAGTGTCATCACTTCTTCTACAAGCCACCCATTTTTCTCAGGAAGGTGAAGTTTCTGCTGTGTGCTAGTAACCTCACCTCCATAACGGGATACACATGTATCAAATTTGTAATAAAGGTGCCTTTGATAAACATCAGTCTTTTCAGATTCCCAGTTGCTAGGAGAATAACTAAGGCATCCAGCTCTTTCCATAATTTTCCGCTCAACCTCATTCCCACCAAATAATTGCATATAAAAATCAGTCTGCAAATGAATACAAAAGAGAACAAGAAAACTAAGTTATTGGTGAGAAAGAAAGGTTCATAGTTCATATATTTGGCATTTACAATAGTTTCGAAAAGAAACTTCGGTAAAATGAGTATGATGAAGCATCTAGCATTTTTTTGTTGATTTAATAGTAAAATCAAGATATGTGCCCCATATATAATTACATATGGATGAAATTAGGTAACAAACAAGATATATGCATGCCCTAGAGTAAAAAGGGTCAAAACCAAGTATTAAGATTTTAGAGTTTTTTTTAAAAGGTGGAGGGAGTAGTGTAAGACAACATCTCATATATTAATTTTTTTATTTCGTCTTTAGCTGATGTGGGAGAAACGCTTCAAGATCCAGAGATATATGAACACTCACAGGAACTGAGAGTGCAGACGAATAAACAGTAGACATGCTCAAATCTTCATCTCCGAAGAACGATCCACTCTCGTCACTCTGTAAGCTTTTCCCTTCATTTTCTTCGTCCATAACTTGCATGTTTTTGGCTAAAGACTCCTCCTCTGTTATTTGTAGTGTCTTAGCCTCCGATTCTTCAACTATTTGTACTTTCTGCTCAGGGGTTAATGCTCTTGCTTTCCACAATGCCTTGATTGTCCTACAAACAGCCAAAATGATATTCGGATTTATTCAACATCTGTCTCATTACAACTGTTATGGATCATTAATTAGCTGAAGTCACAAGTATCATTAAACATGTCTCTTATTGTTGATTATGCAGCATGCTGAATAATCATTTACTTACTAAAGTTAAAACCTAACAAAAAAGGGATATGCGAAAATCACATTCTCACCCTATGTTTACAAACAAGAAACAAAAAATCCGAAACAGTGAAGTAAGAGAGATATGTGCCAAAATCAAGTATTACCATGATTACTATTTTTTTTCAAAAAACATGACATCAGATAAGATGATATGTTTCAGCAACTTTAGCCAGGTAGGAAATAATTATGTAAAACAAATATGGTCCACTTTCACAAAACAACAAATATGTCTTGCTTACACTATCAAAGTACAGGTTTATCAAGAAAAACAGAAGAAAATACCCTTGAGCTATATTTCAGAAAAGATATGTACTCATCGCTTTGTGGAACAATTAACAATATATCAAAGACATATATACCCTAAACTATTTGGATCTAAGAGCATATTCTTCCAATTTTACACCTTCTGGGTTTATTTGTTTATGTTTCAGGAGCATATATGTTCCTTCTCCCAAAGAAAAAATGGCAAATCGGATAATACATAACTCGAAGTATATAAAGAAGCAAACGACAGTTCATACAGTTTTAGCAGTGAGAAAGAGCTTGCTTCTTATCTTGTTGGTATTACACATGTATGGAGTCTTTTAAAACAATCTAGGTGTGTCCAAGAGAGTATATATGTGTGTGATTTGTGTCTATGGTGAACTGGATGTTTAATGAGATATGTTCTATGAAATAAAGTTAAGTTAGTCAACACTATTTTACCTATGTGCTACATTGAAAGAAACAAAAGTTTGAAAGTGGAACTTTAGCCTGCCGTCTTCATCCTGAGTCTTAGCACCATGTCTTGCATCAAATCCTTTGTGAGGCTTAAGTGTCATTACAAGAATAGGGCTGCCCATTGATGACAACGTGGGGGGGATGACTTGAATGTCTTCTATGTCTTCCCAAAGAAAGAAAAAATTTGTCTTGTGTCCAAAGAGATCTGCATGAAACCCAACTATCCTTGGAGACAAAAATACGCGGCCCTGCTCAAAGGCAATTACAATTGAGGGAGATTGTTGATATTAAGCCAAAAAACAAAATAAATACTCAATCCGAAATCGTATAGAATCCTAGTCATAATTAACGCAATTCATTGAGAATAAAACAATTACAGCTATAACTACCTGAAGGGGCATTCTGCGCTTCAAGTGACAAGTGAAGTCGTTAATCAGAAACTCCTCAGGTGGAAGTCCGAAGAGTTTTTGGAATGCTGAATTTGTTTGAGGGGATCTTAATCTTATCTATAAAACATTTGATAAGAAAGTAATAAATTCAAGGAAGGAGACTATGGAAAAAAGAAAATCATTTGAGAGGAAAAAGAAAACCATTTGGGTGTATACCTTCTTCCCAACTTCTTTCTCCATCTTGGACAAATAATCTATGGCAAGGTTGTTACCTTTCGTATTGTTCAAGAAAATTCTTAAATGCAACTTAGACTGACAGGCTTGAGCCAACTTCCCATGAAGGGGAACCAAGACATCAGACAAATCAGATATTTTAGTTTTTAGAAAATTAATTTCAGCACGCCCAAGAGATGTGGCTTCATCAAAAGGACCATCAAAATCGAAAACCTCCACAACCAGTACAGAAGGCGGCTCATCCATCGCATCAAACTCAAAGATTTCTGTATGCGAGGAAAATTAAAATATAACAACTATAGTCAAATTTAGTATATGCACTTCCAGATAAATTGAAAGGTTAAACAAATAACTACAATACCATTCCACTTGGGATCTGAACTTTGGAACTTAATCGAGCTGGTTCTCGTTTTCCCATTGCAACTGAAAACAACATATGGATCAGAAAACCCGCTTGAGTCAACAGCTGCCAAACTATGTCCTTCAAGCAATACCGCAGTCAGCAACCAGCCATCTCCTTGTGCTTTCACTCCATGGTCACCACCTTTGGCTAATACATTTAAAGTAAATGAAACCTATCATACGACAAAACACATGGATAATACAAAGAGTAATAAAAACTTTTTAATGAGGTCATCAGAAAGAAATATGACGGCAATTGATAGTCAACAAAGTGGGCCTTACTGAACTGGGTCATAAGACACTTGGACCAAACTACATGAATGTTTGAATCCAATCTATTAGTTAGTCCAACCCAATGTCTTATTAACAAAAAGAAGATGTGAGACTATAACATATTAGCAATAATGTCTCTCACATTACATTACTTAAACACATGCCAGCACAAGCTTTCAGATCTCCTAACTCCTTCATAAAACAACTTTTACTCTTTATATAAACAAACTGGTTTATTCGTACCGTTTTGTCCTCTTGCCTGAATAAAACGTGACATTAGCTCCAGGACCCTTTTCCCTTGCAGTACCAGTACTCCACAGACAATCAATTCACCAATAGAGTCAGGCAAGTCAAGCCCAGCAAACTCAAGCCCTTGAATTGTGCTAGGCATTGCTAGCAAGATGTGCACAGCCACATACAACCCTATGACAAAAGTTGATATTACGGTAAAATTAGCAAAGTACTTAACAGCCAGTTTCCAATCTGACTGTTGCTCTGCTTGAAGGGAAGCCAATGCCTGATCCTTCTCAGAAGAAAACTCTTTTTCATCTACTGGTTTTACATTCTGAGACAAGAAACTTGCATATTGCTCAAAGCTTTCCTTTATACCTTGCTTTGCTCCATTCTCTATTATACCTTTCATCATAGTGCTCTGAGAAAAGTTCATCCGCCATGAGACTACCAGTCTTGAGGTCTTTTCTCCTGAAGGCAGATCGGGCCCACCAGTGATGCAGAAAAGAGTTTCAGTTTTAAAAGTGTTACCATATGGAGCATCTGGAGTGCTTACGGTGACAAATACTGCATATGTCTTTCCATCAGCCTTCACATAACTTTGCTCCTCTGTTGCTTTCAAAGCCTTGACCAATCTACTTGCAGCCTTAGTAACAGTGACTACTCTCCTTAAACTTGTACCATCATTCTCAAACTTCCAAGGTCCCACTTTCAAGTCTGTGGATCCCTGGAAATCTACTAAAGACTTCAGAAAGTTTGAGTCTGGTGAATAGAGCAGTGAATTCAATTCATGTGGAGCAACAGCATATAACTGGTCTAAAACTATTCCTGGTAAATAACTAGGAACTTCACTGCCTTGATCTCTCATCTCCATGGATCTCATCATTTCTTCGAAACTGACCGGTGAAGACTGCTCCTCCAGTGCGTCCTCATTATCCTCTGTACTCACACTATCAGACAATTCAGTTGAATCTGTGAATTTTACATAAGTTGTGGATGGTCCATCAGAATTTTTGTAAAAAATCTGATAGAACCGACCAGCCAAGGTTTGTGTGTGTGACTTTTCTTCCTTTGAAGAGATAGTTTCTTCTGACTTTATCGGGGAAAGTGATCTCACAGTGGCATTGTAGGACCTGGCTGGGGATCCACTTGGCGTATCATCATACTTCTTTGGTAATGTAGCAGGATCACATCTTGATTGCAAGTCTGGCGAAATGTTGTTTAGCGAGAAACATATAGTGAGAAAAATTTGTCCTGTCAGAATATAAGAGCAGAATTAAACTCCATTGAAAGCTCGAGGCAAGGTCTACATTTGTTTTTTTTGGAATACAAATGTCGAATCTCAAATAAAATTTGGAAAATGTCAAGAAATATTTTGAAAGACTTAACATTTCAAAAAATAATCGCAACACACATCTAAACTTTTGGTAATATCATTATGTTTTCTCAAAAAACCATGAGAACTTGGTTTTTATCCATAAAAGTTTCCCATATGGCCATATCAATATCTATATTCAAATATCAGCCATTTTTTTCATAAATTCAAAGTATTGATATTTCCATAAATATGAATATGTGTATCCTTGGTTACTTTTCTCATCCTTGATAGCGGTTTGGAGGGGGTCATACACACAATAGAATTGAAGTAAACACTCAGTTACTTTGCCCTATTTGACATTTCCATAAATATCAACAGTTGTATCCTTAGCTACTTCCCCTTCCTTGATAGCATGATTGTACTGTGTATCAAGGACCAAGCTGGCGGCAGCAAGGGGGCATACACATAGTGGAATTAAAAGTAAACATTTATTTGGCTAAAGGTGTTGGATTGTGTACAAAGAACAGAACCAGTTTTTGAACACACTGTGGCATCAATAATCCTGAAATTAAAAAAAACACCTACAACAATCACTTAAAAGATAGTATAAGAAACAACTTACCGCAATCCCTATTCTTAGCCCTTTTACTCTTTGGGTGTAATGGGTACCAAGACGTGCCAAGCGACTTATGTGGTGCTTCAAAAACACGAGAAATGGGGATTTTAAGTTGACCAATGAAATCATCATTGAAGTACTTATCTTCATCCAGAACAGAGATGACCAGTTCTTCCTTGAGATCATCTACCCGAAAGATGAACTCATCACACCATGACGGATTCAAACATTTCTTCACCACTTTGGTCCTGAACCTCTGCTTCCCAACCTGCAACTTCACATAGGGATCACTGAACCCATTTGGGTCCATTGCAGGTATATCTCGTGCCTCTATCACTCGCACTACAAGTTTCATTTTTGCGCCAAGAAGAACTTCCAATATATGAACCCTATCTTGTTAGCTTCAATAAAGGTAAAACGCTGGACCAAGATCAACCCCTTTAATCGGATGAGCAACAGAGATGTGAACAACTCTAAATGAACATAATTAACTATGAGAGCACGGTTTTTTCTCACCCAGAAGCAAGCAAAATTATGTCAAACTGGCAGTGAGGATATGAACAATTTGACTTTTTTTAAGGGGTTGACTAGTAAAACTATATTTCTGATACCAATAAATACTCTCAACTAACATTATCCAAAGATTAGGTTTTGAGTTTAGACCCCCTCTTATGTATGCTCGTCGTCTCCGCCTTATGCATATACATATATAGAAATAGAAAAGCAGAGCAGTCAAAATTTGAAGGAATGATACATGTTAGGGGAAAAACTGGAGATTGCTCACGAAACTCAAGAACAGCAGATAAAGATCAGAATGGAAATGAAACTTTTAATATCAAGCTCCCCTCAATTGACTGGATTTTAATCATTTCGTGACCGAGACCCAGATCAGCTGAGAGGTGAAGAAAGTGTGAACGAGCAAAGGAATGAAAAGAGGAGGAAATTCTACTGTAATTACAGAGTAAGATCAGCTCAAAAAGTACATGGACTTTTTCTAAATATGGCGGTTTTCAAATGTAATGCGCGTCTGGGCGTTGCTAATTGGACCTTGTTTTGTTTATTGCCAGGATATAAGAGACGACAGAGGTATGAAGATTTTTTATGTTTCCTGATTTCATTCGCTAGAAAATGCTAGTAGATTTTATTCTTCCAATAAAAAACTTTTTGTAATTTCAAAAATGATCGAGTATATTTTTATTTACTAAATAGATGTAGAGATTTATATTGAGTAAAGATTATATCAAAATTCTGAAAAATATCATCATATTTAAAATCTAATTATATCAAAACATGAAGGTACTTAGTTATATTGAGTAAAGATTTAGGATCAAATACAAATAGTCTCTCACATGAAAATAGAAATAGATCTGGAGCACCGGATTAAGGATCTAATGACTTTGAATATGTCAAAAATGCATTAAAGTGAATTAAAAATGTGATAGCATTTTTGTAAATAGATCAATAATTTACCATAAAGGATCAAAAGTGGATGTCTGAAATTTTCTCAATGCAATAGTGCAAGTCAAACGCTTAGAAGTGGAGGCGTTCGCATTTTGTATTTTCAGACCACTTTTTATTGAAACAGAACCTGAGTAAAAATATAGTAACCCTTGTTGATGTAGTTTCTCTTTTTCCATAGTATCTATTCTGTTAAATGTCAACATCCCTGATTGTGATTGATTTCGAACTTGTGACCCTCTTCCTTGGGAGTGTCACAGTGATCCCATTGAATCACGAGGTGTTTGGCATATAGTAACCCCGGTAAGAAATCATAAACATTTTTACTGCTATTTAAGATAATTTCTTAATAAACTCCACCTTTCATTTTACTTATCCTAAAGTCATTCAATCTATTTGAAATGAACACTTACAATTAAATATAAATTGGAGAAATCAAAACTAATAGTCCCACATTTTAGTTGTGTTTCTAAAGTAGTCTCACTTAACTGTAATCTCATAAAATTACACTTTTACATCTCATCTTCTTTCTTTGATCTCTGACCGGTTAATGACATGTTATTTCATGTTTTCCCTTTTCTTTGTAAATCATTGAACTATAAATCTCACATTTTACAAATCTTCTCAAAATGACCCCCCATATGACTTTTCCTTTTTCTTCCTAAAAGTTTTCTCTTTTTTCTATATCATCACAATGTTTTTATTCATTTTTCTTATTTTTCATTTTCATATATTTATCTTGTTTGTGTATTTCTTCATCCATTTATCATAAAAATGTTTTATAAAATTTTCTTTTAATAGTTTTTTCTTTTTTGCTTCTCCTCCATTTTTATTTTCTTTCCTTTTTATGATTACATGTTCGTTGTAATCCATTTTTATAATTTTTTTCAACTGTTGGCTCAAATTTTTTCTTTGAATTTTTCAGAAAAGAGAAAAATATATTAGTGATCAAATCAAGGTAAGAAAAGAAAAAAGGAAATAAATAAGTAGAGTTAAAAGGTAGTATAGTCAAAGAGTAGTAGGGTGAGAAAAAGATCATTTATAAGAACCGAAATAATCCGAAAAAATACATAACAATGGAAATGAAATAATAAATAGGAAGAAGAAAAGGAAGAAAAGAATGGAATACATAAACATGGAAACATTTATGGAGAAAAAAGAAAATATGATATGTATGACCATTTTCAGGGACTAATGAAAGAAGATGGAGTGCAAAGGTGAGGATTATTTCTGAAGTAATCTGGAATAGCAAGTCATATTTGAAAAAACTCTACAAAAGTGGACTAAATTTGCCGGAATTTTGGCCAGAAGGACGAGGGGTGGTGAGAGGATAATGGTCACGGACTAAATGTGGAAGTTGTATAATAGTCATGGGACCAAAAGTGGAATTTTTTCTTAATAATAATATGCCATAAAAGTTGGAAATTTTTGTAATTTCACCTAATATCAAATCATAATCATTTCATTGCTCATTAAACTCTCCAACTTCTATTTTATAAATAAAACAACTTTCTATTTTGAAATACTTATAACTTTTATTAAAAAACACACTCACAACTTTAATTACAGTTTGAAACATTTAATTACAACCGTTAAAATAAAGGGAAAAGTATGAGATCAGAAAAGGTACGTGTCATTAGATTTGTTTTCAAATAGGGTCATGTATTTCATTTTTTATCAAAGTGATTTATGTGTATGAATTTCGTTATCACAAGATGGTTTTGGAGTCTAGCACCGTTAGAAATCGCCGGAGGCGATGATGAACCGTAACTCCGATTTTCTAAAGTGTCCAGAAAATTAAAAGAAAAATACTGGAAGGTGCGCCTTAACAAGACGACTTTGGCCTTGTATTGTCATATCTCTTGTTATGACTCCATTTTCAATGAGAATGGACTTTGGTCTCTATTTACTTGTATTTTTATAGCTAGAAAAATTGGCACTTGTGCAATGATCTAGACAACTTTCGTAGCAAGATTCATAACTATTTTCCATGTGTTAGAGATATTTTATGTTGAATCAAACATTTCAGCCCGGGTGGTTGTGAGGTCACCGTGCCTAGTGAGAGGTCTCGAGTTCGAAACTCGCTAGGCACATAAGGGTTTGAAACTCAATGGAGTGAGTAGAGATGGCAATTTCGACCGACCCGTTGGATACCCGCACCGAACCGATTTGGTCAAACTGGGGAAAACCGGTTTGACTGGGGAACGGGTATGGGGCGGGGAATACCCGGTTTTTCTAAATGGATAATGGTGCCGTTATGGTTCTATACTAATCCGCCCCGTTATCCGTCCCGAAACCGCCTCGTTCACTAATGGTGCGAGTATCCGCACCGTTACCCGATCTGTAACATTATTAATAAATTATAACTTTTTATATATAAGAATAATAAGTATATATGCTAAATTGTGTACACTAAATCGTATATCTCATATAAGTATATAAAGAATAATACACCAAAGACCCATTTCAAAAACTCTAACATCCCTAACTCAGTGTATTATGAATTCATGGCTCAGGGCTCTGCTTCTTAACAGTGAGAACAACTCTCTTCAATCCTTCTAGATGGAAGGATGCTAGGTCTACAGTTCGGCTCTACCGTCAGTGGCTTCTAATCTTTTTCATTATCAAGGATTCAACCCAGTTCCTTCTTTCTTCTTTTTACTATTTTTTTTATTATATTATAAGAGATATTGGGTGCTTGTCATACTAATGAATTTAGGACTAAAACCGCTTGATTGATTGCACATTTACTTTTGTATGTTTTATGGTGCTTTTAATATATACTTCCTCCGTCCCTTAAAACTTTGTCAACTTTCCTTTTTTGGATGTCCCACTAACTTTGCCACTTTCTCTTTTAAGTAAAGAATTTGTGGTTCCGGATAATTCTCTCTCCTCTACACAAATCTCAACCACACATTTTTTACTTTATTAATCCCCGTGCCAGTCAAACTTGGCAAAGTTTTAAGGGACGGAGGGAGTAATTTACTACGAAGGATGTTTACATCAACAAGTAGGGCTAGAAATTGGTTATTTGGTATCATTTGGGCAAACGGGTACCCATGGATAAACCGATTCCCCGTTGGGGTGGGTACGGTTCAAATAAAAATTACTCGAACGGGTAATGGGGTGGTTTTGGGGCAAACATTTATCCAACGAGGTGGTTTCGGTTTTATGTGTACCCGTCCCCGATCCGCCCCGTTGCCATCCCTAAGAGTGAGTTTCAGCCCTGATTACTCCGGGTCCCCCAGACCCCCCTGGAGTGAAAAAAAATATAGTATCGTATATTTTATGTTGTAATCAATGTTTATTATTAATAACCTCTTGTTGAGTTTAATATAGATTAAAATAGCTTTGTTGTGATATATTATCCCGGCTCATTACTGTTCAGAAGCCCAGGACTTTACGTAGTAAAGAGCCTAATCAGTAAGATCCATTTTAGCCTATCAAGCATGTTTCGGCCTTTGGGCCTGTTTCTGCCCATTTGGCCTGTTAAGGTGGAGAGCCCCCCTTCTCCCTTTATCTATAAGTAGGAGTTCCCTCCTTACCAAAGATCCTTTTGAGCTTCTTCTTCCTTCCGTTTTAGAGCTAGCTTCAATACTTCATTAATGGGAGCTTGTACAATGTAATGGTAAGGAGAGTCTTAACGAGAAAGAGAGGGTTTGGACATTAGTCTAAAAAGTCCCGTGATTTTTCCCTTTTCAGATTTCCACGTAAAAATAGTTGTTCATACACATTTATATACATATTTACTATATCGTGTTAGATTAAACTCAACAATGACGCCGTTGTGAATCTGTCCAAAGAGATTGATGTGTTCATGCCAAGTGCACTGATTCCAGACAAAAAAAGGATTATGGGAAGCAAAACAGGAGGAAAGGAGAAGTTGGGAATTGCAGATCTGGGATGTCTGAGAACTCCGCCGGACCCACCGTCCCCAACGCCATGAACCCTTGGGTAAGTTATGTGCACCGG